TTAATTTGAAATATTTTGCATTAGAAGATAATGTAAGGCATTAAAAGTGCCCAAGAGTTACGCACTTCATTGCTGTATTTGCGTTGTCTGATAAATTCAGCTCAGCTTTCTACCCTTTTGCTAAATGTTAGGGTTTAGCGGGAAAAACTGTTGTTTTGTTCAATCACAAGCACTTCTACAAATTGATTGAGATTTGCTTGCAATCATTTGATTCCCACCTGATTCCTCTGTGAGTCAAACAGTAATAATTTTGTAATTGAAGTTTTACGGCTTCAAGTCAACATTGTTAGGTTGATTAATGAGAAGATCTCTTTAGGTGAAAGCAAATTACCCCAAGGTCAAAACGAGAATATTTTGATTGTCTTTGGATGAAGCCTCTGAAGTGTGCCCTGATTACCTATTAGTGATCAAGTGCTGCTTCTTGCTGATATGATTCCTCTCGTTTTGAGTTTCTGATTCCAGTCCAGCCGAATAATGTTCTTTCGTAGTTCTTGCATGAACATCTGCAGTGTTTGTGCAATGTGAGGCTGATCAGAGTCGTTAGAGTGTAAACAATCCACCCATATTAATCTGACTTAATTCTGTGAGCCTTGCTTTTATTTCCTCAACCATTTGGTGAACATGCAACTCATGTAATCTTGTAGGTGTCCCAGTATGACAACTATAAACGTCACAGATATGTAGTGTTTCTCCTCTATGCCAAAAGAGTTTAAATTTCCTATCTAAACCCATCTAACCCAGTGCACTCCACCTTACTATCAGTATTCTATTTGTATGACAACTATGCCCAACATTATGTGTACATTTAATGACAAACAGGAGCTGAAGCTTGATTAGAAACCTCTGTCCAAACAGTTTACATCCCTGTATTCCCTCTGACACAGACGCTAGCAGTGTTTCACAGCTTACCAAACTTCATTTTTTCACTGTGTGGTCATAAACAGTCAATCTTTTAAGTATCGTCAAACATAATCTCACTCAACCAGTGACAGAATCCAACAAATAGTGATTGGAATTTTTGCCAGCTAGAAAATCAACAAGCAAAAGTTAAATATGCAGAAGAAAACTGCGATCTTTTGCACCTGGTGTTGCACCACTGGCTTCCTCTTTTTAAAACAATATTGATTTGTATGGAAAATGTAGCTCTAGCTCTTTCTAATGAAAGCGTGAGTACTGTATTGATACACACAAGCATTTACCAGCCTTTTTTCAATATAACCATTAAATGTACCCCAAAATAAGATTGATGAGATGCTTTTATTGTTATTGTTATAAAATCTGGTTACCACTAAAAACACACGTAAGTGTTGTTAAGTGGCTTAAGACCTCAATAAATCTGATAGCTCAGCTCCTATTTTACTCTGTTATAATACAGACTGGTTACCATCTATAAACAGCGCATATCTTTACAAGGAAGCAGCTCACAGAATGTTTACAATTCTTCCCTTGTCTGCCATTTTCTTTGTAACTCTACGTGTCAGAGATGTATACTTAAGATAATGTAACTACTGCCGCTTAAAACAAACCTAATGCATCAAATTATCATATTCATGTATTGTTCTATACATATCTTTATGCATCCTAAATCAAGATTGTGGTGTTTTACAATTGATGGATGACCGTGGAAGTAGTTTCTTGACCAAATTTGTTAATTATGCCTGTGCTCGAAGCTGCCTGGTTTATCCTCCCTTATTATTTTGAGGGGGCGTTGCAGGCGGGGGTGCACAGAACATATGATAGAACTATTTGGCACATTCACGTATAAATCCAACGAGCCACGGGAGTAGTGAATTGGCGAGAAAGCGTCTTTTATATTCTGTCATTACAGTGGGAGGCTTATTAAATGAAAGGCAAGCTCGATGTAAAATGTCATTAGAAAATATCACCCGCTGCTAAAAGGTGTAACTGTGGCAAGAAGTTGGGATCATTTCAGTTTTTGTCTCGAACACGACTCTGAGCAGACTTGGTCCCTTTGAGTTTTTGTGCGCATGTGTTTGTATTCACATGCATTTGAGTGCAACATATGTTGGTGCTCTGATCGCGGGATCGGGCCATTATCACTGCAAATGCAGGTGCTATTCTTTATCTCGGCTTGGTTCAGCCTTTTGTCTTCAAACAAGGCTCTTCACGTCTTTTTCTCCCACTGCTGCAACTACCCCTTAAAGCTACACACACACACACCAGACACACACACACACACACACATGCACAGGCAGAGAAACACATACACACATCTGCCTGAACACACATATGCAAAACTAACAAAACAGACTGTCTGTGATCCCTTAAAAAGCTTCTCAAAATGAGTGCAAGTAAGTTTTATACCACACACACACACACACACACACAGGCGCACGCACACAAGGGCACACACTCTTCTACTTCTACTTCACACAGAGTATATTCTCTCAGAGCAGATTTGCATACTGATTTTGATGTTGCTTGTTGTTTATGTCTCAGATTGCGAGGTGTGACCCACTTGCTCTGTTCATTTTGTCGCTATTAAAGGAAACCCTATCTCCTCAGCAGACGGGTACAGGTTTCCTAATTGCTATAAAATCACGGAACTCTGAAAATTAATGGTGACTACACCGTAGGACTTACGAGTGCGAGATGTGCATGTGTTGATAATTATTCCTCAAGGACTTTGGATCAGGACAGATTGTGTATGTCTTTTACATACTGTCTTGTACTGAGAACTGATCTTTACAGTGAACGTCATGCAGGGAGGAACGACATGGATGCTTTGCATGGATGTACATTTCAGCTCTACATAAACATGTAATTAAAAAAAAAGTCCAGATCATGACACTAATTTATATTGGAATGAACAAGCAACTGAATTGCAATTACTGATTTGCATGAAATGTTCCCTACTGTAGCCTCAGGTTTTCATTGCCATTTAATTGCTAATTATTGTGTGTATCTACACTTTAGAAACAGACATGATTAAAACTGAACTAACATCACTTTATAACGTTTTATTTTATTATTTTTTTATGTCTGATTAATATGCACTTTTAAAATGCCACATTAGTGAAGGCTCATGGGCATGCATATTTAATAGAAAAACTATCCTCTGTTTTGCACCTGCCAACAGGTGCACAGTTGCACAACTAAAGTCAGGCAACAGAAGGCAGGTGTGGAACACTAGAGCGCTGACTGTTGATGTGGTGTCATTCTGTCCATCTCTGATTACACGTAATGTAAGAAGACACCACCTGACGGCAACAGGCGTGAGGTTCCCTATGTTGTAAGATGGAGGCAGAGCGATTTGAAAAGGAGATATGGAAACAAATACTAATGGGTGGGTTATGGCATGTAAACAGTACATTAAATGCACGTATAAAGCACCTTTTTACTGTAGCGGTTTATGAATAATCTACGCATTAATGTACCAAAAGGGGCAGAGCTGCTATGCCAGGTCCAACTCGAGGTTTAGTGTCTTCAGCACGTGGACAGGAGCAGCCAAGGACTGAACCGCCAACTCGTAGATGAATAAAACAACCTGCTCTACCGCTTGAGCCACAGCAGCGATTGTATTGCTTCTCTTTTTTATTCCTCTTTCCAGAACATGTTACCACTTCCTTCACAGACACAAAGTGTTAACTTGATTCAAATTCACAATGCACCTCACTACTTCTCTTGTGAAATAATGTCAGCCAGCAGCTACTGGCAGTTAGATGAGATCCGCTGGCCGTGTCTGTAAAAAAGAATAAATAAAAAAATAACTGTGTGGTTCACTAACATCCACCATTTCTCTAGTGGAGGCCTCTTCAGCATATCCTCCCTAAAACTGTCTCTCTCTTCTTCCTTGTGTTTTCATGCCTCTTCGTTTTAATGATGGTGTTTTTCTCTTCTTCCCCTTAACTTCAGAGCTGTTCCTTAACCGTTTCATGCTTCTTCTTTTTTTTTTTTGTTTTTCCTTTCATGCCTCTGCTCTGCTTCCCTTTGGCTACATTAACCTCTGACTCCTTCAGACTGGCAGTATGAGGGTAAGAGGGCAAGCATCTGTTATCTGTTTCCTTCTGTGTTACTACACCCTTGTTTTCTCTCCATTTTTTACCGCTCTTCCCCGTTTGAAAGACATTTAATCCTGAACTTTCCTCACATCAGCTGTACGGCTCCGTTGCCTCTGCAGCATCCATTCCTTTGGACTAGATTCTTCCCTTTCTCCTGTCTCCTCCTCTCCACCTCTCCTGCTGCCCCATCTGGTGCTGTCTGTCAAGCTGCCATTACCTGTGTCCCATGTGCTCGTACCATCTAGCTGCTGTGACCTCCATCTGTGAAGCCGCCTCTCGTCAGTGCTCTTGCTTGTGATGTTGCCACATGCTTTCACCACCCCGTTTGTCTGGTGTCAATACCGCGCAGTCCATTCCTGTTGATGTCTCTGTGGCAGCAGCCATTGATGCCACCTGCCGTACAATGATGCATCAGTGTGACAGCTCATGATACGACAGACACTAAAATGAAACTTGGAGGTTTATTTCCTCAGAAGCGATTATATATATTTTTTTACTGTTATTGATTCTATTTCAACTTTCTTTTAATGCATTGTTGTTCTAAAATTACTGTCTGCAAAATCCAGGCAATGCTCTTCTTCATTCAATATTCTGTTTAAGTACTTAAGAATTGAAGGTCTCATTCTGTTAAAAAAAAAAAAGGCCTTCGTGACATTTTTATCAGACGTATGAGTGCATGCTGACAGCAGCAGTTTGAACTACCTTGTAAATAAAATTAGCTACTTTAGTTGTCAGTTGCCAACCTAAAGTTTTCTTCAGATAAAATACTGGATACCGTTACCTCATTGGGCCTCAAATCAATATCTGATTGAACATTATCTGAGAAGATTGTAGGGCAATGTCATTTCAGTGGAATTGCTATTTCAGTTTCCCCCCTTTTCACATCTGCAGTCATATGCTTCCATGAGACATAATCTATGTATAAAGCATTCAAAGTTTCTTCTGTTGATTCATTTTTTTTTCTTTTTGCACGTGCAGAGTGTAAGCTGTCCCGGCCAGGCCCCCCTGCAACCATAGTGACCATTGACGAGGAGAGCCCCAACGGTACGTGCCCAGCAGTCGCCCGACTGTTTTTCCTCCCTTATTTCTTCTCCCACTTCACGCTGCATTTCAGAATAGTAAATGCTGCCGTTCTCAAGTAGTGTGGATTACACTGTTGGGATTGTTTTTGCACCGCTGCGAGTGTTGCTTTGGTAATGTAATACATATTAATACTTGCCTCTGTTGGGACTGCTGAGTGCCGTAGTGTAATAGAGTAAAGTCGCACAGCTGATGGCTCTTGATGCGGGCGGGTTACAGGAGGCGTTTTGTCAGACGCAGCGGGTTGTCATTTGGATTGTGTTTTAAATTAAAGATAAATAAATTCTCGGTGTGTGTGTGTGTGCGTTTGTGCTGCTCTCCCAGGGTAAAGCGGAAATATGCATGTGTCTGAGTGTATACAGATGGTGTTTGGTATACAGACGTGATGTGGGGCTCCATTAATGAGGCTGTATTTACCGCCGTATACCTGTGCAGGAATCGCTGAAGCGTGATCAGACACACACGGCACTTGAGCGTGTCAGGTGAAGCTCTTCTGCTCCTCCTTTTCTTTTCTTCCTTCATCTCCTCCCCCGGCCTCTCCATCACCTGCACCCACTTCTCGGCCGTCTCTAATTCCCCCCCTCCCTCACCTTCATGGGTGTTCGCTACGAGTGTTTGAGTGCCATCTGCATTTTGTTGATGTTTCTTGGTGCGAATGCGTGCATGTGTGTATGCGACGGGGTGTTCTCGCTGCTGCTTGGGGAGGAGCTATATGTTCATTGAGGGAATGAGAAATGCTTTTCCCCCTAAATGGAACAGGTGTGTGTTTGTCTCGCTGGCTTCTCCCTGCAGATATTAGTACTGCAGGTTAACAGAGTTTAATGAGCAGTTCTCACTACAGATGGCATCCAGAGCTTATTTATACAATCAAAATACTATTTCACAGATGCTCTGTTTCCTTGCAATACTGTATATAGTCTGCTTTCGGGGTGACTGTGCATCTCGGAGTGAGGGATCGTGTGTACACATATGCATGCGCCTTATGTGCATATTTGTATCCAGAGAGTACGAATGGGTGGCTCTGTGTCAGATAGGGATGCCCATTCATCAGTGCAATAGCCTACAATTCAGGCTGTCATTCGCTCTCACCTACTCCTTCCTCTCTGTGTGTGCAGCTGTGATTTGGGGCTTTGATCGATTGCTGGGGGAATTTGTGAGATGGAGGTAGCCAAGCCTGTATCCGAAAGCCTCTCTCGCCCCACATGTGCCGATGCTCTGTGTGTGAGGGATTTGCACTAATCTTCCTCATAAAGCTCTCATTTACCTGGGATATGGGTCTCTTCTGGCATCACCGTCCTTTTATTTATCTCTCCGTGATGAAAAGGGCCAGAGCCCGTCCTCCCCATAATGGAATGTAAAACAGGCAACCCAGCGTTATTGACCAAAGCAATTATCCCTCTAAATGTGTTTCATCTCTTCTCTTCTGTCACACAGAAACCATACAAATGGCACATAATAAGATCCCATCTTTTCTGAGCATTTGCCTTTATATTCATTCATGTTTGTGAATGGGAAAGCAAACAACATAATCACCCGTCTGTCTAGCTTTGTTTGGTCAGGGTCAGAAAAAGATAGACAAACAAATAAATATATAATCCGCTTTCTTTGGCTTCGCCGAAGAACAAATTTAATCCGAAGCAGAAGAGCCAAGAAAGCGTAAGGTTCCCTCGTGGAAGAGGAGTGCTGCTCAGAAACATGATAACATTTGCAATCGTCAAGGCGCTATACTTTATCAACAGTTGTTCCGTTATTGATCGTCTGGGTGGAATTAAATTTGACTCTGTTAAGACAACAGACCTTGGTATCTACACATTGTTAAATATGTATGTTTTCCTTGTCCTTTTTCATTTCAGGTTGTTATTTTATTTTGTAGTTTTTCACTTTAGGAAAAAAAAAAACATCTAAAATTCACGAGGGGATAAAAACCCAGTTGCTCAAATGAAGCATAACATGTTTAATTTATCTAAGCTGCTGCTTCTGCGGACCCGCTGACAGGTGCCAGACACAACACATAAAGCCTTACTCACTTGAAGAGTAGATCTCTATTGGGAAGACAGAGCTCGCTTTCTATAGGTTCCATTGCTTATTCTGACTATGAGCTAAATCTAAAAGCATTTAATCAGATTGAAGAGATGTCTATCTGGTTGTATAGGAGGCAGCCTGCTTATGTGAAGAGAGGAAAGAGGGAGCGAGACTGAGAGACAGAGGGTGTATTTTCCCATTGACAGAACGCTTCCTACAACAGCAGTGGGAAATCAGTGTGTCCATAAATGAGAATGCTGTCTCCTAGCTTTTATCTTGTCTCTGCAAATTCATGATTTGTATCTACTGTTGCCTGAAGCGAGTGAGGAGCCTCTCAACCCTCTGCATATTGAGCAACAGCTTATAGGAAATCAGAAACGAGTGTTACTGAAGGGGTTTTTATTAAAATGAAGTCAATTTAGCATTCTTTTATGTGCTGCGCTGCCAAGGTGGATTCACCCTAAAAGCTGGCAAATCATTGCGTTTTAATGAAAGCTGACACCCACTTGAATGAGGCAATCAATGTAAAAAACTCCCTCTATAGGCAGATGATGCAAGCAATCATATCAGTCACTTAAATGTATGCTTGACCTTAAACGCTATCCTCCGGGAATGCTCAACAAACAAGTGGTTTGATGGGAAATCAAACATATTCACCAGCGGTAAAGGAATGCAATGCTTTAGGGAGAATCCTTTAGATATTGCCACTTCACTGAAGTACAGTAACTTTTAGAGCAGCTGTATACATGCGATATTTTCTCTTCAGATGAGCCTGAATATCATTTTTTGTCATCTAGTCGGGAAGTAAATTGATTCATAAAACTAAGAATATTGAATATCCTGCCAGCAAGTGTGTGAGTGTGCGGCAAGTACTGGCCCGGGCAGCACTCCAGCTTCAACTTATAGCCTCTGCGATATATACGTAGAGTCACAGTAATTGTTATGACAAGCTCTTTGATTTATTACAAACCTCACATTAAGAGTACAGTCTTAAGACCGTGCAAAAGAAAGGTTGATGATAGCGACTTCACATTGGCACCATAAGCTCTTAATAATATGACCTGAAATATCAAATAGTGCGACGCAGACTAAGGCACAGTATCAGCTATCAGGTTGTTTGATGGTAATTGTGTGCAAAATGGGTTTTGTATTTTCGTTGTTGCATCTTGAGAGGATTTATTAAAAACTCTTTATTTGAACAGGATATTGATAAAAACTTGAGACTTTTTCCGAGAGTGTCACTATCAGGAGGCACTCCAGCACAAAGCGCTCCTTACCCTTCCATCACTTGATGCCCTTTTGTTGTTACAAGTCCTCAGACCAATCATTCATGTGATGTAAAGTGCGCTCTTTTGTGAGGAAACAATGACCTTTCACTGCCTCCTCCTCTTCACTCCTCTGCCTTGTCTCTAAACTTGACCCAAAGTCAACCATACAAAGCTCATCCAGATATAAAATAAAGTGACAAGTGCGCCGGAGTCAGTGTGAGGATGAACAAAGTGAGCCACTTCAAACTTGTTCAGCACGTACTCTGGTCTCTTTGCTCTCGCCGCTTTATTATGTTGTTTTCAGACTCTAAACTGGCCACAGAGCAGCCTTGACATGACATTAAAAGATTTGACAGAGCTGAAATGATGGCAAACAGATAACATATAGAGTGTCAATGCTGAATACCATGTCTGTTTAAAGGTCTCTCATCTCATCCAGGATGACGAGCCCTCGTAGAGCGGTGTGCGCCTTCCTCCTGAGCAAAATACCAGGTCCAATGTCTGCTGCTTTGCCGGGGATTCAAAGGGCTTGGAGGCATCTCTAGAAAATGTTAAATGTGTAAGGTTTAAAGAATTAATGAGATGAGCCAGCCGACGTGAGTGTTTTTCCTTGGTCACCAAGGACTCATTAGCTTCACTCCTTAAAGTTAATTCAATCCCTCACACTGTTTCTCTCCACCAAGCTTGTCATTAGTTCAATCATGCTCTCTGTTGCTTCATTCCTCTACATTAACATTTTGTGTAGTTAGCCCGTTTCAAGGCTTTCCCTTTCTTTGTGTCTGTTTCTTAATTTCTTTTTGTCTGTATTTACCGGCTGAACATCCAGCAGGAGGTTGAACTGGCCGTTAAATGACATGTTTACAAATGCAGGGTCAGAATGTGTTTCCGTAATTACAGCTGAACAACCTTGCACCTACCAGAGTCGTATATATATATATATATATAATTTTTAGTTTGTTAATTACACCTGGAAGGCAGTAGCATTTCAGTCAAGGTTAGCGCAGCAGTGGGCTAACAGTCCAGACGCCCCCCAAGCATGTAGCACCAGGCTTTACTATGATGAATCTTCAAACACCTTTAGCCCTGACTGCTACTGAGCTCAAACAATAGTGGTTGTCACCAGGGGAGCAAATTGATATATGAGTCTTTCAGTGTCCCAGTGTATCAAGTGTGGTGAAAATTATTGATCCTTAGATAAAGAGAAGGGCGCGTCATAGTGTTCCACAGTTTGAACAGTTAACTGCCTTTACCTACAGTACTGCAACAGCCTTTGGCACAACACCAAGGAAATATTTATAGATACACGTCAAGACTTTTAAAAAAAGTTCCGTCACCTCCTGTTCCATCATTTAATGCAACCTTGTCACTCCCATACAACGAAACAGAGCTTTCATTTAAATTTTGACAGAAACATAATTCCATTTAAAGCTGATGCATTTTCTCGCCAATGACATTGTAAGAAAGGCTTCCAGTTTGAAAGCGCTGCAAAGAAAGTAAGGAGGGAGGATGGAGGTGTAAGTCAGGACGCATCCTTCACGACTTCATTGTTAAGTTTTAGAAAATATTTGGCTTTGGTTGACACTTTCTCAATGGAGTCTACATACCAATATTACTCAGTTGGGTTTGGACAAATGTCAAGGTTTGGTTTAAAATATGACTCTTTCACTTCATGGT